ACCAGGACACGTTAATCACAGCAGGAGTCTCAGTGGTGGCGTTCTGTTCATAGCTAAACTTTTACACACAAACACTGGAAACCATGTAAAAAAAATGCCATAAAGATTTTAATGTCACTTATTCACTTTAATGTTGCAGCTAGATATTATTTTTATTATTAATATACTGCAGGGTATTGGAATATAGCATAATATTTATTATGCCTTTGCAATTTAAAATTTCTAGCATAATAAAGCTAAAAATAAATGGAATATATATATTTCCATCTACAAGTAGAGTGAAGTAACAAAGTTGCATAAAAGAAATATTTCTGTGCTTTACTATTAATTCTGAAGTATGCAGATAAGTTATATTCCACCATTGTTCCTGTCATTGTTCGTACAGTATCTGATGGTGATGGGTACATGGGAGTATCCATCACCAATGCCATGCATTTCCTTGTTGGGCACACCTGTTACTGGCTATCTGTGGACGTGATTCTGATACTGACACCCACATTTCTTTCATATGATAGAAATGTTTGATTACAAGTCTATGATTATTTCTAAGCAGACTTCTTCGACCAGCATCTAAACATGCTTAACTACATTGGATATGGACCATATACTCTTTACATCCCTTTAAACGTGGCTGCTCTTCCAGTGTTACACAGATGGCAGATGGTAGTATGGTCAGCGGAAGAGTCTTGGTCTCAATGTAAGGAAACAACTTCTCAGTGATAGTGAGTTTGAAGGTGTGTATGAGTGTGTTGGTATCAATATCAAAGAATGAGAGCTTCCCTTTGTCGCAGTGCAGGCGAACTCTGATCCTCTGGAGCGTCTTCACTGCGAGGACTTTGCGTGAAAGTGGTGGAGCAACTGCTGTGTATTTCCCATCGTGGCGACTTAATTCCCAGAATCCAGTCTTTAATTGTCCCTTTCTCTTAATTGACTCCTGTAGCACACCGAGACACCAGACTCCATCATTTCTAACCTCAACGTCCCAGCTGTGACTCCCCGAGTCGTAGCCCTCAGAGCCCATGATGATTGAATAGCTGTCAAACCTTTCTGGGTTTTCAGGAAGCTTCTGTTTGTTTCCTTGTCTCACACTAGTAAGATCTGAAGAGATGATGAGGTGTCCTTCAGCGGTGTTTGGATTCAGAATCACAGGAGTGTAGGAAACTGTCTCCTTCATTTTGTTCCAGATGTTGTAGGCCAGGTTGCCCAGGTGTTTGGCCACATCCATCAGAGCTCCAGAGACCACCTCAGGATCCTCCAGCAGGGGGCGCTGCTGGACTCTTTCTGCTGCAGCCTTGTAGTTATAGAGAAACAAAGAGTCATCAGCTCTCAGTTCCTCCTGTGTGGCACTGATGGTTTCAGAAAGAGCTGCTATCTTTTTGGTCAGAGCCTCAATCTTCTCCTGCATCATCCGACTCTTCTGCTGCTCTTCTGTCTTCAGAGCGGTGATCCTTGCCTCTTCCTCCTCAAACAGAAAGTGATGAAGCTTCTTAAACTGCTCCCTAATCTGGCTCTCTATGTACCGAGTCTGCACTACGTTGTGTTCTACAGTGAGGTCACTGTTTGCTTTCACGTATTCAAAGAGCTTCAGTTTATCTTGTAAACACTTGAGAAACATCTGGAGCTTCACTCTTTGATCCTGTGCAGCTTCTTCGATGGGTCTGAATCTGTGGTTGTTGTGTGCTTTTGAGTCTCGACATACGAGACACACGGGCTCCTCGTGGTCCAAACAGAAGAGTTTGAGTTTCTCAGCGTGCAGATTGCAGAGAGCTTCAGATGCTGCTAGTGGTGTCCCTGCTCTCTCAGCTCTCTCCTCTACAGCAGTCTTACACAGGTTCCTTAGCACTAAACTAACAGGTGGGTCAGTTGATGAGGGTATCTTCATGCAGAGTGGGCAGGTTTGGGTGTCCTTCTCCTTCCACCACAACTGCAGACATTCTTTGCAGAAGCTGTGGCTGCATGAGAGGATGACCGGATCTCTGAAGATTTCATGGCAGATCGAACAGGTGAGTTCCTTTTCAGACTCAGATTGTGCAGCCAGTTTGCCCTGGAATCGAAGCAAACCCGCAGATGGCTGTAAAAAAGAAATAGTGCGCTTCACATTTGGGGTTTTTTTTAAATTCGCTTCCATGGCAATGAACTAGCAGCAGGTTTAGCAGCACTCCAGTGTCCCCGGTGATCTTTCTGCTATAGTTGGAAAACTCACGTCTCCTCCGGTTACTCGTCCTAAGCAAACTGAACAGAAGTCAAGTCCAACTTTGACTTATGAGGCATGTTATCTGATGCCTATATGGTCAAAGAACGAGGAAAATACATTTCACAAGGTTGTTTGTCTCATGCAGAGCATTCCCCACATTACTGGGTTATCTGCATCTGACGATTGCTACAGAGCCAGCCTTTGTTTCAAACTGATCAACATTTCTGATATAGGCAGGTATATTGAAAGAGAGCATGCACAAACAGTGAGCTAATTATTTGTTTGCACTGCTATATGTCAGGTTTCCTCCTGAGTACTCCGGCTCTCTCCTCCTCACTGATGTTCTTCGTGGTTTAACTGGTGATTCTAAACAGGATGTAGGTGTGGATGTGAGACTGTGTGTTTATATCAGCAGTGATGGTTCCTGCCCCTCCACAATCCCAACTCAGATATAAGATGATGTTACATTTCCCTTTGTGTTTGCTTTATTCTCTCCACTCTTTGGTCCACCTGGGAAAAACGCTCTTCCTCTTTCAGATCTTCAGCATCCCCAGTTGCCTGCCTCTTTTTTTTTCCGAGGCCCTGGTATTATTAATTATTTTTCATTAATTTTCATAAGTAGACCACAATAGCAATGCAAAGGTAAGTTTTTGGGGTGATAAAAATATCTATGCTCCTTAGGATATATCTGAAGTCCACTTGGTCTAATAGCTTTCACTGAGAAACAAGATCTCACCACTCAGTTATTTTGGAACTCCTGTCTTCATATCTAAATGAATACGTCCCCAACTATAATTTCAATGGTCACTGGGATGAAAAAAATATGCATGAGTCAAAAGGTTAGACCAAAGCTTATAAGAAGGAAAAACATGACTGAACCACAGTTCACACACCAAAGATAATCTCTTTCGTAACATAGCTACAGTCAGACACGGCTGCACAATCATGTGGTGTGGATGTTTTTCTGTGGGATTTTTGATTTCTATCAGAAAGATCCTAACTAATCCTAAATCAAATCTAAGGACTCTGCTCTCCAAGGTTCCAAGTGTTTCTCAAGCACCTGCTCATTTATCTCTAGAGCCGCATGAGGTCAGAACTCTGAACTGAAGCCAAAAGATTAGAAAGCCCCGGATAAAGTGGCTGCAGCTTTCTGCTGGGTACCAAGAATCCACAGATTATTGTAAAACTTACACTGGAGTCACCTGAAGTGTTCTCTCTGCTTTGTGGAAACCCAAAGTTTCATTGTAGATTCCTTAACTGGTTTATTGGCTGAACTTTGAATATCAGCTGTCAGTATTTATTTTAGCCCAACGTGAGTTTTGGGCCTCCACCTGCCCCCTGCGTGTGCAGACTTTTGTTTTTCAAATTTAGTAATCTGGCACCAAATCAGTGTGAAAACACCAGCATGGAGAAATAGAATAGACGAGTCTAAACCAGCACCCGGAGTTTATTAATCAACATTTATGACAATCACGGATCAAACGTAACGTCGGCCCTTGTAAACCCTGAACTTTAATCAAACTCGTACATACGCGCAGTATCAAAACAACACAGAGCTCCTTTTTCACGAAACAAAATCTGAGCAAATGTTTCAGTGCAGCAAATAAATACACCAAAAATGAATCATTGGCATTAAAACAGTTGCTATTTGCCCAAAACAAACAGACTGTTGTCATGTTACTGGGCAGTGAGTGGGTGCAGTTTGCAGACACAAACACAGGATGTGTTTTTCATTTTTAATGTAACTGCATGTTTCCCAACATGTACTGAAAGCAAACATGGTTGTTCACAGGTGCCGACAAAATTATTTCATGTTACAACGAGAAATCATCAATGAACAGAAAACAAAACTTTGATTTCATGTCCCAATTCCATCATACACGGTTTCTGAGCTGAGTCTGAGTTTGTAGTGAAGTCACACCAGCAAAGTGACTGAATCAGTGTTCAAAGTGTTGCTGTGGTTGAATCTGGCTGCAGTTTGACGAAAACCTTTGAACAAAAAAAAACAACTTCATTCATAAACCGAGTGCAGTTTCTCAGACACTCGTACCTGCTAATTAGTGCTTAGTACAGGCAGATATTAGTATGTCATTCACCAACGCTGAAGCACACTTGCTCCTTGCTCCACAAGGCACCAACAGCACAAACACAGTTGAAAGGTCCGGTTCAGACTCAGTTAGCCGAGGTGACGCCTGTAACTCTACCCGCCTGAGAGTGAAAGCAGCAACAGCATCAAAACTTTAAGCCAAATAAAAATTAAACAGACGAGTCATTAAAAATACAAACACCTTATGAAGGAGGAAACTAGTTAGCCAAAACCATGGATGCACTTGTCTGTAAGCATTTTTATTTGTGCTGTAAAGCTGGACATTTTAACATGGGAGCCTATGGGGACCGACTCATTACAGCCAGACTCTAGTGGACATTAGAGGAACTGCAGGTGTTGGCACTTCTATGATATGTGCTGCAAAACAAATATATTGGATCTGACTTGCTGTATAATTTCCTGTAAGTATAAAATAGTAATTCTGTTTTTGTGGGATTTTAATAGTATGTATGTAACAAATGCTGTTACAGAACGAGTGTGTAGAGCGGATTTGAGACACTGTCTTATAAACATGCATGTAGTCGTCCTTTCATCTGCGAAGATGTTCAGATTGATTCCACTCACACGTCAATATGGTAAATATAAAGGACATAAAGATGGGAAACAAAACAGCTGGTTTTAATTTACTTTTTAAATATAACTAATTAACCATTTGACACTTTTTTGCCTGTTGGTACCTTAATATTCACCAAACAGACATCAGAGTTCATTTTTTAATGTTAATTACAAATTCGATCTAAGTAAATAACCTTGATGACATGCAGAAATACGAGTAAAGCAGGGATTCATTTGGTGAATTATTTGGGGTTAAATATGAAAGTGGAAAACACGAGCTCACTGCAGCTTTAACTTGGTCCAAAACAACAACAAGAAGAAGGAGGAGGAGAAGAAGAAGGGCCCTTTACATTTCAGACTCCACTCCTCTGTGATATTTAAATCTACAACCAAAACCATCATAAATATTTGGATCCATTATTGTGTGTGTTCTTCCTGGGACCAGTCTCCAACCCTCCACCGAAGCTTAATGATGATTATCTGTTTCTGCTCTCCAAACATGCCAAACTCGAGCGACTCAGTTGTCAACACATTCACTGCAGTCTTCGTTTCCTGCTCGGTAGTTGTTATTATCTGATGTTTGACAAACGCAGCTTCTCGCCAGAAAAACTTTCCAGTTTCTGATCAAAATCTCAGGTAGTGTTCTGCAACACAATGAGGTTGAACTGGTTTTTACTTTAGATGACTTTAGGTAAACGAGAACTGAAGAGCAGACTGTAAAAGGCAAACACTGTTAAACTGGTGAGAAATTAAAGGTTTCTAAGCTCTTAAAAACAGCTTTTTCTTTCTCCTCTGACCACGACAGATGCCACTTTTAACAAAAAGGCAATTAGGAAAACACAAACGCGTGCACGTGGGCGAGAATGATCAAATAAAAGAGGTTTTTCCTTCAGCACGACAGCTGGTGCTTTAAAATAAAACCTGGAGCTGCAAGAACAACAAAGCATCAAAAAATAAACTTTCCCAGAGTGGCTTACAGGAAGTAACCACAGGTGGAGGTTACAGGTGGAGGTTACAGGTGGAGGTGAGGCTTCAGAGTAAGCCACGTGTCGACATCCCACACGTCTGTCATGTTGTATGTTGCAGTGCTATTGTTTGCATGTGACGCTGTACCGTGCGCACGTTCTGCGTGTGCCGTTTTGATCTGTTTGAGGACCACAGGAGGTCTGAAAGTCTTTTACCCTCCTTCAGTTTTTGTTTGTTCCCTCTGAGGATAAAAAGAAGATGAGTTTATTCCTCCCTTCAGAGCAAACACGGGGGCGTTTTATTTGAGAATCAGCGTCGCCTCAGAGCCGTCCTTCCTCTTCAGGTACAGCCCGTTGGTGAGGTGGTGCTCTCTCCTCAAGAAGGCGTAGAAATAATCTGACACCAGCAGGATCTGAAGGGGACATATATTTATATCAGGACACTGAGACTGCACTATCGGGGGGGATTCTTCTTACAGACTGCCTCTTGTAAATAAGATTTCCTTTACTGCCACTTTGAAAGAAGACGTGATATTGAAACAAACAAAAAAAAGCCGAAATCTAAAAATGGATGAAACTTCATTTAACAGCGTTATTGCATTTATCCTTAAAACTAACTAAATAAATAAACAGCATTAACTCTGCCCCCCTGGCTCCCATGCACACCATCCTACCTGCGCCACGTTGAAGAGCAGAGTTATGGCGTAGTAGAAGTTGGAGTTGGCGCTGCCGGCGTAGATCCAGAGGTGCCAGAGAACCGGGAACAGAGCCGAACAGGCCAGCAAGACACAGGACACCAGGAAGATGTTCCTCAGGACTGAACAGGAACAAAGACATATAATTACTGATGAATCAAAAACATGAATTAATGAAGCTTTAAGATGCTACAAGAGAAAAATCAGGACTTTCATTTGAGGACAGTTTGGAGCTGATGAAAAATCTCTGACCAATCAGTATTAAAGATCTTTTTAGTTTCATCCTGTATTATTATTTTATTTTTATGATGCCACTAATTAACACTGAACACTGTAAGTAAATTCACAGCTCAGATCTACAGTGTTTCAGAGACTTTGTTTCTATGTTTCTTTACTCTCACTGATCGGCAGACAACATAAATTTAAGGTAAATATTCAAAACATTTTTTTATGTGATGATACTTTAACCAGGATCTGTAAGAACACAGACTCTGAGTGGAAATGTTGTCAGGTTTTTTCCCCCCACTCACATCTGTGCAGGTGACTCCAGACAGGAAGGAAGGCCAGGTAGAGTGCAACGTCTCCCACAGTGGGGTACGACTTAAAGATGGAGATCACAGCTAACTGCATGAAGATCAGGAAGACGGGATGCTCCCTGCAGCACACACACGAACACACATGATACATCATGTTGTGGTTTTACTCAGGTTTAGGTTATTAAACAGGAAAAAAAAAAACTGTGTCAACTTGGAAGGACCTTTAACGTGAGAATGAGGTGCTGGACTTACTTTAGTTTGATGGACAGAGGGATGGTGTAGAAGAAAACATTAATCTGGAAGACGCAGAGGAAGAAGAGGCGGAAATGTTCAAACATCTCGGCAAAGAAATACCAGAAGAGGCCGATGTTCGGAGTGAGGTCAGGAACCGAGAGGCTGGAGGGAGAGAAAACAGTCCCATTAGAGATGCAGACACACTTACAGAGTTTATTCTGTCTTCAAACATGACACGCACTCATTGGAACTGAACAGTGAAAATAAATAAGCTTCACAGCGCCCTCTGGTGGA